ATATATATATATACACCAAAGATGGCAGGAGATATGCATACCTTTAAGGAATGTTAGTTCTTTAATTAATATCAGGAGCTAACCTGTTGATTTAATGCTGGTATCACTAATACTTAAAAAAAAAGCATACAAGAATTACAACTAACTTCTATTAATACCAGAACTATCAATATTAGAACATTTTATGTCAGTTTGAAGTCCAACTGTGTGTTTAGATTGTAGAGATTCTGATCCCCGCAGGCAGCAGGGCATGATTTAAAATCCCCACATTGTTTCTGACAAACACTCCTAGTTGCTCTCTGAGGGTTAACTAGTGAGCTCCCCAGAGAACTACATACCTATGAGGCTTTCGTCTCTTGTTGTATTCGCATCACTGATAGGAATAATGAACTGGCGTTACCAGTCAGCCACCATTTGGAACACAAGTGAGAATCCATGTTCCCTCAGTGACACGTGAGCTTAATAAAGCCCAAACTTCAGAGTTCGTCAGTGTGTTTGGTTGGAAGTTATTAGACAATTATTAAGTGAAAATTCCACCAATAGTTACACTTTTATTTGAAACTGACTGTGCCAGTTGAGTTCAGTCAATCAACATGGAGTCAAAAGTAAGAAGAAACAAAACACTATTGTCTGAAGTTTATTACAAAGCAATTAAGAAAAAAGAAGGGTATTGAACTGAAATGGTTCCAGCAGTCCCAAAACGCCTTAATGTGTCAGTAAAGTTTCTCACCAGACAATTCAATTTTTTGAAACTCTGTTTAAACTTGACAATGACTTTTTTGAATTTGAACCATTAAAAAATTGAAACGCTTAACTCTGTGGTTGTATCTTTGAAACTGTGAGGCCTTTATTCTCTACTGTAGCAAACTTTGTGTCTTCAAGTCTGAACCAAAAAAAGAATGAAAGGCATCTTCCAGCCTGTGAAGATGTATAATTGTCACTAATTAAAAGTGAGTTTGATTTTTTTTTTTTTTTAAAAGATGACGGTAAATGTCAAATGCTTCCTTTTCTGTGTCAGTGAGTAAAAACCTTAGCATTTCTGCGGAGACGTGACATGATTTGTGTGTTCATGTGTTGCATGTAGAAGTTGCACTGGTGTGTCAGGGTTTCTGGTTGCGTATGGCTGCTGGGTGTTACCTGACAGACATCGGAGCGGATGCCGGTTTTCCAGAAGCCCTGACTACTGAGCTCCACCGTCACCTCACGGCGCATCGTGTTCTTCTGTCGGATCTTCTGAAGAGCTTCCTGCCAAACAACCAACCAGTCAATTATTGATCCACTGGAGTAGAGCCTTTGGGGACAAGCATCCTGTCCTAAAAAGAACCTACCCCTTCCGCTTTCTGTTACTTCCTTCATTTCACTCTGGTTTTCCCAACAGATAACTTGGCACATAAACTACAACCTCATGACAAACATGAACAAGTAAAAAAAATGTTGAAGTGCTGCTCAGTGTGGGAAGAAGTTTAATTTGTAGCTGAAGACTGTTCTATAGCCTGGTACCCTGGGCAGAAAACAGAATTTCTTCTTGCTTTAAGAAAAGAGTGAGAAACAACTACAAGACCTGGTTCAGAAGACCTTAGGTGTATAGAAGGGGTGTGAGGGGTTAAAAGTTCATTTAAAAGGGGTTAAAAGCCAGATTGTCTGAAGCTTTGTAGACCAAACAGAAGAGTATAAATACATCTGAATTTTAAAGGAAATCAGTGTAGAGARATGAATATAGGGGTGATTTGGAAGCCAAACAAGGTCTTGGTGAAAAGTTTAGCAGCTGAATTTTAGACTAACTAAAAGAGTGAGTCGTGGTAAAAATGGAAATAGAGGAAGTTGCAGTTGTCTAGACATGATGGCACGGAAGCATAAATGAATTTTTAATTGCTGAAAAGATAAAAAAGGGTGCATTTTGGTTATATTTCTCAAGTGGAAGTAAGTGGACTGAACTACAGACTTAACGCACTTCTCAGTTTTGATTTGTTGGTCAAAAACAAGCCTTAAGTTCTCTGTTATGTTTGCGGACGTGTGAGCAGCTATAAAACCAAGGGACTGGAAAATGATGGAAAATGATTATACCTTCAAATAAGGTTGAAACATAAATATTAAATCTACCCAACAAACATTAATATAAGCCCTCAAATTGGCCGATAAAGATACTTGAATTTGAAAGGATTTTAGCTTTAATTATTGAGTTTAGTTTGTCATTTTACCTGGAGGGAACTTTCTGATAAGTCAACCCTTAGAATTTTATAATTATCCATTTCTTCACATCTTATCCACAAAAATATATCTGCTTCCTCAAAATGTTTTCCCTGTGGTCTCAAACTGAAGAAAAAATAACTCTCATAAAAATGAGTGGACACACACCTATCCATCAGTCCTGTGGCAAATGTAAGATGAGATCAAGATAAAGACCAGAAAGTCTGATATAAGAGGGCCCTTCACAAGAAAAAAAAAGTTCAGGATGGAAGATGTATTGACTGCACCTCCTTAATGTGTGTGCTCACACACACTCATGTGTTTCATTCAGCTGAGATGCCATTGACTCGGTCAGAGCTAGCCGTGATCTGCCTAAAATGGAATGCCAGGAATTTTTCGACTCGCCGAGGCAGTAAGAACAACAAAGGCATGAATAAATAATGGCAGTCTACTTTGAACTGTGTGCATCAAAAAGAAAACGCGCTCGCCCACGCGCAGCACGAGCGTGCAAAACCACACACAACCCATCCTCCCGCGGACAGCCAGCCACTGGATATGGAAAGCAGTCATCACAGAGAAGTGTGAATCTTATGTAAATAGTTTATTATGCAGGGCCTTCAACRGGGTCAGGGAACAGAGGGAAGCAAGACAAGTAAATAATTAACCAGGGAGGTACAGAGACTCTTTCTGCTGGTCAAAGTCATGACACAATTGACTTTTACCACCGCATCCTTCTACTGAGAAGAGTGTTTATATTTAAGATCAGTCTGAGGTCAAACACCAAAAACACTTCCTGAAAATCAATGTCCGAACAAAGGCATGAGCACATCTGTTGCATGTTTGTTTCTTTGTGCTTTTAACGGTCATTTAATGAATTTTGTTTTATTCTCATCACATTACCGGCAGAGTGTGAGAGATTCAAAGCTGCAAGATTAAAGCATTTATTGCTATGTGCTGTTCAAAGTGAACACAGAAAAACAGATTTTGCACTAATGTTCTTTAWGAATCTCTTTTGAGCCTGATAACATTAAGAAGGGTGTTGTTTTGTTTTTATAAAAGGGTTCGATGGTGACTGATTGGACATACTGTATCTACAAATGAAACAACTGCACTTCTCTTGACCATGTGAAGCCCTGTTATTTGTTTTTTTTTCTTTTAGAGCTATGACAAAAATCAAAATACTTTGTTTTAATTTCTGGTTAAACTGACATTTTTAAGTTTAAAAGATCATCTGTTTGGTCAGGAAAAATAGGTGTTCTAGATTTCAARGAAAGAAAAAATTAATTTAATTAAAAATACAATAATTATGTTTTCAAATATCTTAAAATCAAGAGTAGAAAAAAATAATTAAATATCAGCTGCATACCAATTAAATAAACCCTTTATCTACAGTTTGACCTGTGAAAGTTTTTAATCAACAAATAAAACAATTATCTACACTTTGTGGAACAGACAGCTGTGTTGCCTTCTTTGTATTCAGAAACAAGTTAACTTGTTAAATTACTGCTCAATAACTATTATACAACGAAATCAATGTTAATTATTTGGTTTGCTTAAAAATTTTAGGCCTATGAAAACTAAAATTGTTACATTTAAGATTAGAAAGAAGCTCTTTTGGACAGCCGGGTCGCAACACAAAAGTGTTCATTTTGTGCAGAAAGCAATCCTTACGAATCCATGCCAATCATCACTCAAATGTAATTTAAAAACCCGTGAAGCTCCTCTGTGTTCCCCTTAAAATGACAATTCATCAAATAAAACTGTGTGGAACGAGTTGCATCTTTTTAAAGATTTTCCTCAAACAGCTCGCCTGAGCTCGGTCAAATCTGCGGAGGAGAATCAGAGCAAATCCCCCAAATCCGCGTCTACTGAGCTGAAACTCGAGGACGAATTTACTGCGAGGTGATTTTTWTTWTTTTTTTTTTTTACCAAACCCATTTCTAAGACTTTATTTAGAAAACATACTCGCTGAAACATTCCCCCAGAAATGAGTCAAAGTGTTTTTGATAGTAAAAGTGCATTTGAAGCCTGACTGATGGCGCCGCTCACAATCCATCTGCTGCGAGGCCAGTTCTCGTTGAGATGCTCACCTCTAGCCTCGCAGGTATCAAACAGCAGGTGTGAAAACCTCTGACAAGGTGCTTCTTGATGGAAGAAAATGCCTCTGAGACGGACAGATGTTTTAGTTTTACAGAGGAAGTGCTCAGTGTTCCCTCAGGCATTAAATAAGCAGCAAAGCCACACCGCCACTGCAGTGAAGAGGCACTGACATGGCTAATGCTTCTGCCGGAGTCTGATGGACCCAGTGTGGAAGAGTGCATGTGTTTGGATTCACTAATTGCTCCAGCGCAGGTTGACAGTAGGATTGTCGGTGCCTGTTAGGCGGAGAGCCTCGCAGAGCTACCTGGGAAACAAACTAATTGAGCTCGGAGTTCTTGCTCATTGCGGATTCAGAGTGCGTCAACTAGTCCGAAAGAAGAGACTGGATCAGGAGCGCACTTCTGAAGAGAAGTTAGAGTCGTTTCTGGAGGAGAAGAATACAATGAAGGAAAGCTCTTCTTCTCTGCTTCTTCAGACCACACACACAGCACTGTTACTCTGGGATTCCCTGTGGCTACATGGTCATTACTTCACCAAATCTAAACCTTTTCCATTCATGCTCCCCAGCGGTGGTCTGACCTTCACACCCGACTCAGGAGAGCAGTTACTGCCATTTTATTCTGAGCTGTAAATTCATCTCAATTATGCAGTGAAAGAAGGGCGGGGATTGCATTTTTTTCATACGCGTCATAAAACAACAGTCAGGCGCAAAGACGCTGCCTTGAAACCTTTATTTTTATCTTTAGACTGGTTTACACTTTAGCAAAAGACGGTAAGTGCATTAAACAAGCGAGAATAAATGTAAACGTTTATTATTTAATTTAATCGGTTTCAGAAAAGCACTTTCTATCCTTCTGCATTGGTAAAATGCTTAAACAGTTGGCCGATTCATTAGGCCGATTATTGCAGGTTTTTTAAAATATAATTGGCATCAACGAGACCTGAGCATACTAAGCCGATTATGAGACAGGCACATCTGTGGGCAGCACCGTGTTCTTACAMATTACACTACACTCTCGGGTCAGTGTGCTTCCTGTGAACCTTTTGCAGCAAAGGTGCTTTTAGTGGTACAACAATGGCAAACCTCAAAGGAAACTGACCAAAATACTAAGCCAACTTTARTAAAAGCAGCATCAAATCTACCAGGGAAAATATAATTGGTAGGGTTGCTAAAAATCTGGGAGGGGAGGTTAAAATGATTTGAGTCATACTCCTACAATTGACTATCAAGCGCCACACCGTAAGAAACCGATTGCCCACTTTTCTTTAATCATCTTATTTTTGTTTTTCTTTAAAAAAAATACAATAGATTGTAGGAGTGYGAATCTTTTGGCATTTGATTTGTTTATGACTCAGAGGGCTGCATTGCAGTTATGAAACACTTAAATGACTATGGCTTTTTTGAATAAACTGATTCATCTATTTTCATGGCTGATATGGATGAAAAATGTATCACAATACAACAGTTTAATTTCAGTCAATATCAATAATTATTGATTCCTTTTTTGGGTGAGGAAAACATAAAATTGCTGCCACGCATGCTGCTCAGCAGGTTGTTGCTAGCTTACCAAAGAGTGAGTTGATGTCGCCAGCCTTGCTTAGCTGGGCTGTGAGAGGTGGAGCGACTAAAGCCTTTTCTCTGCCTACATCCCCAGAATGCAGTGCGGCTATGGGTCGGTGTTCAGTGAAATTATCAACATTCTACAGGACGTATCTTCTATTGATATTGAGCTTGTGTCATATTACTGTTTTATTGCTCTACCGTAGCATATGTCAAAAGAGAAAAAAATTTCAATCGCAACCTGCTGACTAGCAAGTAGCATAAATACGAAGTTAACATTGAAAATCTAATGCAATTAGCATTGTGTTTTTATCTTTGAAAATCTACACAAAGCACAAATTTCAGAGTTATAAATAAAGATAAACGGTGTGATGTGAAAACAATTTACTATTTGTTTCTACTATAGGGAACTATGGTAACTCAAATACGACAAACAGCTTCGCTGATCAATCTTGTCATTTCAGAACCTTTCATCACTTTGATGCCATGGATTTGAAAAGAGACTTTTCCTTCCATTCAAATAGACTGTTTTGTGTGTAAAGAAGCTGTTTTAAGCCACACAAAAAAGCAGCATTTATAAACTGCCCATTAATTGCTGTTTGTTAAAAATCTGCACACATCAGATCGACTCACTTAAAAATAAAAGTTGTCACTAATATCTAAATTACTTAGTGAATATTTATATAAACAACAACAAAAAAAAAGACACCTTGAATAATACTCAAGTCAAAAATTATACATCTTAAAAGAATATAAACTTAGCACAAGAGGTAAGGAAATGTGTGTTTGGTAGATTATTTTGCTGTTGTAACAATGCTTCTTGGCAATAAATTTTATACTGTTGGAAAGCCCGTGATATTCTCTTTTTGTAAAAAGGAACATACTTTTCTGGGATGAGCAGTAGAGCTATGTGTGAGTTGCCAAACAGCTTATTTTGCTGTTGCTATTGACACTTGTTTTGAGCTTCTGGTACCCCCAGGTGCTGCCAATAAGGTGTCATAAGATTAATTACTAAGAAGAATTGTTACAACAAAAAAATTATCTACCACACACAAATTTCTTTAATTTTTGTGCCACATTCATTTAAAAATCAAACAAAAAAAATCCTATAATAGTTTTTTTCTTCAATTTTCCAGTCTTTTTATCAGGCAGTAGCTAACTACTCACAAAGTAGCAGACATGTAGAAATACAATTAGTGTATACACCAGGAATAAGAACAATTTAACAGCTTCTTGTTTAAATGCCTTTTATATCTGCAGGGCATGAACTTTCTAATTATTTAAACTGAAAACACATTTTGCTGTAATAAAAACAAACCACCTAGTGATGCGAACAAATAGCATCAAGGTCAGGCTTTTCTTTTTTCTTTTGACCCACCTCTCTCTGTGTCAGCTTCTGCTTATCAATCTGCTTGACCTTTGGGCTGTTGGCCAGCAGGTGGCGTAGTTTCACATAACTCTTCCACAGCTTCTGGTACCTGCCAACAGTAAATAAGGAGTCATCATGCTGTTAGGGAGTCTGTCTCCTTCTTTTGCAACAACATATCAATATTTCATCTGCCGCTTGCCTGATATGAAACGCAACTCAACAGCCGCCTGCAGCAATTTCTACATTAGCTGCATGAATGTGAGAAGAGACACTGAAGATTTGTGTGTGTGTGTGTGTGTGTGTGTTTAACCGTTTGAACTGTGAGACAAGTTTACGCCGATAAATTATTGTTCACACTTTTCACTTGTGACAACGATGTCAAAACAGCTTATTGAGCGGAGTTGTTTGCGAGACGCTGTAGAAACCCCAGCACTTAATTTAGGAGCTCATCTCCGTCTAATTTTCTATAAAATTTAATTGTCTTTGTGCTCATTTGCATCTAAAAGGAGGCAGGGAGTTATCGGCAAGGTGACACGTAGTTACCATACGAACCACCTCCCCGCCCTTCCCCCACTCTCCCTTTTCAATCAGACCCCCTGATTGATGCACTGAGGGCCGAGTGTGACCGTTCTGCTCTCATTCAGTAGACTTTCTCCTCATTTACCCAGAGTTATTCAATTATGATTACCAGGATGGAGAAGTGAGKGGGTAGGGCTTGAGGGAAAGGACGGTCCACCGACACAGAGAACGGGATGAAGGAAGTCGTGAGCAAGGGAAGGAAATAAGAAAGGGAGAGGAAGGAGGTGGGATGTACTGTGGAATGGAAGAATTATAGAGCTTTAATAGCGGGGACTTCATTAGAGACCGAGACGAGGGAATGAGAAGGCTTTACCGCCCCGATTATCAGCTCACCACCACCTCCGCACTGAGGCAGCCTGAGCGACGGAGAGATGCAAACGGGAAGAGAGAAAGTCTATCCAGCCTGGGAGGCCCCCTCGTCCCCAATCCGCTCCAATGACCTTTCCACAGATCCGCCATGTGCTCTCAGGGTAGCGCTGCCGCAGCTCTCACCATTCCCTTCACATGCTTTTATTAGCATATGCTGCCTCCTCCTTTCTCTTCACCAACTCCCCTCTTGTTTCCTATCTGTAACCCCTTTTAGACATGTTCATCTGTTCTGTTCAAGCAAAGGGCTTTTTGGCATTCAAACAAGAGTCTCCATTAGTTAAAAAGTTCTATATAGACATTACAAGACTAATATGAAACAACAAAACCACAAGTGACCTTGTAGGTGATTAATTGTAAGTGTCATAGATCCAGAAATGTCTGTAGATTTCTCACCTGTATAATATTTTATTAGACTTTAACAATGACACTGGTTTCTTAACTATGTTTTAGCTCATTAGATCCCAATGCCAACGTTTTTCACGAACAGCTTAACATTTTTAATCACAACATTCACCCCACCCCCGAGGATCATAAAATGAGCGGGACAATGATGTAAAAGCATCTTAAAATGTCTCATTTTGTATGGTACACTTTAAAAATAACGTAGTTTTGGGACTTTTAAAGAAGGCCAAAGTTGACCATGTAGGCCAAGTATGGTTTTGGAGGTATGTTTCTTCACTCTAAACACATCTGTTTTGTTGATTGAATCACCTCTTCAGGTTTGGCAGAACGCCTGTTAATCACACATTCATTCAAATCAGGTGACCTGGAGCAGAGAACCAAGTAAAACAAGCAGGATAAAAGACCTCTGATCTAGGRCTATGTTCATTCTGTAGGCAAAATTGATGAATTTCTGAATATCCATAGTTGAATTGGAGAGGCAACAGACCAAAGGCAACCCTCACCCTACCTACACTTCCCAGTTTCACTTGGGAGATCCTAAGATGTTCCCACACCAAAAAGGATCCCTATTCCCTCCTGTGAGTTATTGGCCTGCCTGGGGTCTCTTCTCATGGGGACATGTCCAGAGAACCACCAAAAGAAGGTGTCCAGGAAGTATCCGAAGCCATAATCAAATCTCCTTGCCATGCAGAGAAGCAGTGGCTCTACTTCAAACTTCTCCCCATTTCTACAGCTGGATTTATACTTTGCAAGATATAACGAAATCTGTTCTCTATGTTGCCGTTGCGAGACCAAGGTCTGGGCAGATTTTTTTTTCTTCCAGGGGTTTGTGTCAGCTATATATTTTGTTATCACTTTTTATAATTTTTTTTGTTTTGTTTTGTATACATGTTTGGAATAAACTAAACTAAACTAAAAAACTAAACCAAATTGTGTGATTGGTCAGAAAAGTGAAATGGTGCTGCTCACAGTCACACTGGGAGTATTAGCTTCTGGGAGCTAGCATTACCTTCTGAAATCAAATATTTGCATTATGACCACAAATTTCTCCTGGGCAGTGGTTGGCATGCTGCTGCTGCTGAACAGACAACAGGACTCGACAGTCATCAAAACGGCAGCCGATATCATAAAATAAGATATTGCTCTCCTCCTCCATCAACTGAAAACTTCCATCTCTGTAATTGTCATAGTGTAGCAACATAGTTTCAAATGGATTTATGCACCATGTGGTCACTGTGTTTCTATTGGTGTCCCACAAAGCATGGTTAGTGGATACCAGGGAACCATATACGGGATTTCTCTTGAAGTTTGAAATGTCCTTGTGTAAAATAATGTTTCTGCTATGTCAGAGTGAGCAGGTTTATATAGATCCAGCTTAAGGTTGACCCTGATCACCCTATAGAGAAGTTTCTTTCAGCTGTTTGTATCCATGGTTTTGTTCTTTTGGGCATAATTCATAGCTCATAACCATAGGTGATAGTTGGAACATAAATGAACTGGTAAATTGAGAGCTACCGTTCACCTCATCTCCTTCCTCACCACAGCAAACCAGAGCAGTGCCCTCATTACTGCAGACTAGGGTCCCAATCCATCAATCCATCGTTCCCTCCATCCTGCTATCACTCATACCAATAACTTCAACTCATCCGCTTCAGGCAAAGACTCAGCACCGACCCAGTGGGAGCATTCCACCTTTTTTTTGAGCTATGAACCAAAAYAAAAAAAAATGTCTTGACTGAGTGATTCAAGTAAAACAGCTTTTTTTTCTTATTACACAAAGCCTGCTTCTCGTTATGTAGTTTTTAGAAAACAAGATGTTAGTAATGTCATTAAGGCAATGGCTTTGGTCAGAACCAACACACCATAAAAACACTGATTTACTTAAAAGATGAGAATAAAATATTAATACAATATAATATTATAGCTAAAATAATATTTAAGTCTACTTCATTTGAGGTTTAAATGTGTTGTGTTGAAAACCAAACAAAAATCTTAACAATAAAGCACAGAAAAACAAAATAATGGTTTCAAGTATAACACTGTGCTGCCCACAAGTACACAATACATGTTCCTAAAATCAGCTTAGGTATGGTAACTGGCAAAAGTCAGCCCAAGTAATTGGGATAGGATTAACCCTAGGAAACGGGATCTCCTTAACTCAGGCAAACAAAAGCTTTTCAAGCCTTTTCGAAAAGAAACTACGAGTGCTTTTAGAGAATAAAATCTGTATTTAGTTCCACAAAAGAAAAGAGGAACGTTAAACCTAAAGAACACAATCCTTGTGGTTAGGCTCATGGTGAGAATTTCCAGTTTTGTTTTGTTTTTCTCTTCTCTAAGCCACTGGACCAAGCAACCTTGTCAAAGTAAGCAGCATTAGAAGAAAAAAAAACATTCAAATTCTGGAGGAAAGCATTAAGCAGACTCCTGTAACACTTTGCCTTGGGCATAGTGACATTTTCAAATAAGACAATGACCTGATATGTGTAAGGAAAGAGGACAAAAACCAGCAAAGAAAATTGGATAGAAATTCGCATGCAGTTTGGAATCCATTCAGCGCCAGCTTTTACATTTTAACAAACCCAACACGGATTTTGACTTACTGCCTTTAAACTTCAATGAAACTTGGTCAGTGTATCAAAAGATTCAATCAATGGGCCTCATGCAAGAACCGTTCGTACGCACAGRTTTGTTCTTAAGTTGTGCGTACGAGTGATTTAGGAGAATTTGTGACATTCACCAATGTTTTCGTATTCTAAGATTTTTTTCAGATACGAACAAAATTTACGAGTGGTCCAGACCTGTCGTATATTTTACGAGCAGTCAGTCTGCTGTTATCCAGATGGGTTTTCTTCACTAATAACTTTATATTTCATTAGTTTGAAGATATTTTGAGTTGAAAATAAATYACACTCCATAATTATGTTGACAAAGTTATTCTGCTTGGATTAGAGTTATAATTTTAAATGTAATAATTTAGACTAACAAAATCTGCCCCTTTTGCCCCTGATATGTCTCTTTATGATATGTATCTTTTTTTTCCTTACCAATCCTCATCTGATCCGACCCAGATTTMTTATGTTTGGTAAGAGCTCTGGCGTAAACATATCTTTATGCCAAAATTTAAGCTTGCTAACACAAGAGCACCTACTGTCCTGAGATAAGTCCCAAGCAAGCCCGGTTGTGAACTTGTGGAATCAGCAGCAATACAGGCTTGAGCACTGCTAAGGTGCAAGGGCTGTTCATGGCTGCTTGGCAGCTTTAATACTGATTTCTGTTTAGAATAATTTGTATGATTAAAAAAAAAACTCCTACATTTAAAGAAAGCAAAAAGGTAAGCCAACACCGTTTATAGGAGGATAATTATGAATGTATGGAACTGCTGTGCTTGAAAAGTGCTTGCGTCAGGAAATAAATGGCCCAATCGTAGCTCAGTATGGAAATTAGGTGCTCAGTTTTAGTATGAGATCATGAGCGAGTGCATGAATCGGACACTGCTCACTTTAAGATTGGGGTGTTACAAGTTTTAAAAAAGAGGTCAGCGAGTTAAATCAACAGCAGACTGAAATAAAGGGATTTTCCCCCCTCTCTCTTCTGTTTCTCTTTGTTCTTCTAAAATCTTCCTCTTCTGTCGCCATAATTCTATCCTTTTTCATTTATTCTCTGCGGTCGTTTCTGTCCTATTCCATCATTCCATTTTTTCCCCCTTCTCTTTGCATTCCCTGACCCCTGACAYGTCCTCATTCTTGCCTCAGTGGTCATGATCAAGCTGCAGAGGCAGGGATGGCAGCCGCGACGATGAGTGTGTCCAGTGGGCAGCGTGAAGTGAAGAAGACAACAGTGTCCTGAGTTAATATATGCAGCTGCTGTGTCCAAAGYTCCCTCTCTGTGGCATCGCTGCCGCTGCAATCAACACCGACTGCTGCCCTCGCTACACGCTTCATTAGCAGCGGTCGGAAATCCTTTCTGGTCTCTTACTACTCGTTTCTGCAGCAGCTAATGATGTCCCAGTCCGTCCATAAATTTGTCGTCGTGCGCCGCTTTGAGGAGTTTGACACGGCAGCAGGGTGCACAGGGGATGAAAGAGCTCTGAGGACAGACGGCTAAAAAGCAGCGACAGGGGAGAGGGGACATTAGTTGGAGGGAGGAAGCAAATGAATTCTGCCTAAATGAATTTCCTAATGATTATCCTCTTGTTTGCATCTTCATCGCTGCCATTTTCCTCCCTCTGACTGTTGTGATATAAACCAAACATGAGAGTTCAAAAGGAATCCACAGGTTTAAATTTAGCAGAAACCCAAACTTTTGATTGGTTCTTCTTGTGTTGTTGTCACATCCCTCTGAGACAGCAGCTCACATCACATGACGCTCTGCTTCTGTTAATTATGCAGAAGCACAGTACAGTATTCCCTGCTGCAGCCCTGTGGCATGTGTATGTTGCATTACTATTCACGAGACGTAAAGTGAAATGCGTCCCACAACCGAGGCGCCCCACGGAAACCTGGGACCCGTGACGACGCATGCGGRAAATGTCACGCCACTTGTTTTCACATCCCTCAACTCTCCGATCCGTCTATCCTCCTTTTTGACACACTCTTCCCCTCGCCGACACGCAGCACAAACAGCAGTCGCTACGCCTGGGGAGAGCGACAGTGAATAAGGAGTTGTGAGAATTAGAGAGACGGCGTACGACAGCTACGGGGCGCTTGATGTCCGTGTTTGTTTTTGGAGAGAAAAGCGTGTGATCTTACTGAGGGTCTCCAGCGTAGCTGAGCTGAGCGGGCCGGATGCCGAAATGAACGATGATGGGGAAGGTGATTACGTCTGGGTTGAACTGCTCCCTGTCCAGTTGGTCGATACGCACTGAGCTGGGTTTCTGGATGGGGACAAAAAATAAATAAAAAAGAGTCAATGCAATGTCGTGAAGAATCGAGTTACAGAATAAACATAGTTAGCCACAAGGCAGCCATCATTCAATCATCTAAAGATATAAATAATCCACACCACTAGGGTCATCTGTCACAGAAATGTAATGAGACGAGGCCCCGATTCTGCTTGTAGCACAAGAATGATAAAGTGATGTCAGGGATGGCGAGCTAACTTCTGACACTCTTATCAGGAAGGAGATTGACAAGCAACATGTCCTCAGCTGGCTCCCAAATCACAGTTAGCCTGTCAGGCATTTTGTGAGATCAGAGGAAGCGGCTGCAGCATGAGGCGTGCTGATCAGTGCAGCAGATGGCTCTGGCTCACCTTGATATTCACTCTTTGAAACTTTTGATTTGAGAGCAGGAGGTCACTGGCCAACTTTGATTCTGCCTTTAAAGCGGCATAATCAGGTTTGATTGGTTTGACACAATGAATACACTAATTTATATGTAATTGTCCATTTAAAGTCCACTGCTTCCTTAGCTTTTACCCACCATAACCAATTAGAGGTTGATGACATATGTGAGCCCGTGTATACACCAGGTCACAGTGGGAAATAATCAATTAAGCGTGCCATGTGAGATTGGAAATGGACTTCCATTTGTGGTAGTGAAAGACCTTGACAATGTGGCACAACGGGATATTTTCTCACAACCCCTAACATGCCTGAGTAGCAGATTGAAAGAAGAAACATCAGCAGCTGTGAGAACTATAACCTTCTCACATTCCTCCTCTGCACCTTACAAATTTGAAGTGAAGGTGCAAGAAAAGTACAACATTCAGCAGACAATGTGAGAAAAGCTCAAATTGGAACATATTAGGGGTTGAGACAAAATCCTTAAAGGAACAATGATATGAAAATAATTGTTGCTGAGTTAAATATTAATAATTTAACAACTAATGCAATAAAACTTTACTTGGTGTAAAACCATATTTTGACTTCATGAGTCAGGTAATCTGGACGGGTTTGACGGGTTTGTTTAGCCGACGAAGAGGAAGAGGCCTCCCAGTTTCATCTGGACCTCCACCACGGAGGGGAGGACGTGCTGCATATCGGCCTGGAGGTGCATGGTCTGTCGGAAGACGACGATGTCCAGAAGCCACCGCTGCTGCGGGGGAAAACCAGGAGGATACGTCTTTTCTCTCTTTGTGTCGTCGCGCGGCTCAGAAATTGGAGGTGGAATGGCCTGCTCCCCCTCCTGCACAAAAACCGTCGCGGTTCGCTGGATTTTTTCTCCCCACTGAACCAACCGCGGTGAAAAACCATCTTCCCATGTTCCCAGACTTCGTCTCGGAGCTGACATCCTGCTGGACCAAACCTCTGTCCACCCGCATCACAGTGCCCRGTTATGGACCGTATTTGGATTTGGAAGGAGCTGAAAAAGCTGGACTGGTGAACATACCTCCCATGGAGCTGTCCCTAGCAGCGTATTTGGCCCTGTCTCACAACCTTGGTGTGAGCAGACCCACCACGCTCCTTTCCAAGCCCTGTAGATTTTCTGCTGCGCAGCTTGAAAAAATCTACAAGGCTCAGGCCACCGCCGCTCGCGGCCTGAGCTCCATCAGCATGCTCCAGACTTACCAGGCTATGGCTCTGGTGGAGCTCGGAGACCAGGTACCAGCCGCGAGTCCTCTGCTTCCTCTCTTAAATGAAATCAGACTCACCGCAGACTACATCCTCCATGCGTCCCGCGGCGTAGCACTCTCCCTGGGCAGAGGGATGGCTTCAACCGTGGTGGCGCAGAGACATTTGTGGTTGACACTCTCTGATGTCCCTGACAGAGACTGGGCCACATACCTGGATGAACCAGTTATGGCGGCTGRGTTATTCGGTCAGTCTCTCGACGTTATTCAGGCGAAGTTCGAGCTGAGGAAGAAGCAGGCAGAAGCTCTGCGCTGCATTATCCCCAGACGGGACTCAAGAACCAAGACCAGCACACAGAAGCCAGCCGCACAGCCATCTCCGGCAAAGAGAACGGTGCTGCCTGGAAGCAGCCTCATAACCACGGCCAACACC